CATTTTGATCATGAATTACAAAAATTTGATCATGGATTACAAAAATTCTATCATGGGTTAACAAAAAAAAAAACAAAAAATTCGATCATGGATTCCAAAAAAAAAAAAAAAAATAAATAATAATAAATAAATAAATTTATGTTCTTCCGTACGGGACTCGACGATTCCGTACAGTGAATCGGCGAGTCACTGTGCAGAATCGTCCGGTTCTCTCTGGAACCGGACGATTCCCGTTTTTTTCACCGATTCGATCCGTCCATGGCGATTCCTTAGTCGAACCTGGCGAGTCCAGTTCGACTCAGCGTCTTTTTAAACACTGCTCTAAACAATCAAATTAGAGCCTACCTCAAAAATTTCACTAGAAGATAATGTTTTAATACCTAAATATCCTCAAATTGATGCATGGACATAGAAAAAAATACATTTCAAGTTATGGAAATAGTGTATTTTATAATGCATTTTTTAACCATCAATTTTCAAATTTTCATAGATATGTTGATCTACATGAAACTTCAGACTTTATAAATAAAGATGAAAATATATTTTATTGCTAACACAAAGATTTCTAGTATTGAAACCACATTTCTCGACACTATTTGAGGGTAGGAGCTTAAGCTCAATATGAACCGCACCCATATATATATATATATAAACGACACTTTTCTTTTTATTTTTGCTCATGCCCCATCTTAAGGATTCATGAGCCACCCACGAATCTGTCACTTCAAAATTTGAAGTCCCCACATGTATTGCCATGGCGAAACAGAGAAGTGCTAAACCCAAGCCTTTTGTAACCTAGATCAAACTCCAACATATTGTCTTCTATCTGATGCCCTCCAATGGTGATGGAAGCATCGATAGAAGACAACGGTGACGGCCCCGCATCCAAAACCCCAAGACAAAGCGCACCGTTGCTCATCTCCACCATGGTATTGGAGCCATACATGGGCCACGTCTCACCGTTGTCGAGCACCAGCTCGATCTCCGGCACGATTGCTCCAGTGAGCGTAAACGGCAATCCCTCTGGACTCAAGCACACGCCGAACGGCTTCACCCCAGCGACCCTCGTCAGGTTCATGAGTGCTGCCTCACGCACGAAGGCCGCAGTCACGGCTTTGTAGATGGAGACCTCGAGCATGGTGTATGGGATTGCGGTGCTGATCTTGGTGCCGCCCCTTCCTGCCCAGTAAAATTCCAGCAGGGTGGTGTTCAGCTCGACGGCCTTTTTTTCGATGTTGATGCCCTTCACTTTGATGAAGTACTCGCTCGAGGGCTCCCCTTCCCAGTTTGCGGCTGCGGTACCGAATGGGTTTACTACAATAGGAGTGTACGTGAGAACCTTCGAGGCATCGAGGTTGCGCAGCATGTATGGGCCTTGGCCGAAGAAGAGGACGCCGGGATGCTTGGACGAGCCAGAGAGACAGAGCCCGAAGCGTGGGCGGAAGCTGAACTTGGTGGCGAGCTGTGCAGACAGGCTGATCTTGCGATTGCCAAGGCCAGCGATGCCATGAGAGGGGGGTGCAAGGCCTTTGGTTAGAGAGGAGGGGGCGCAGGAGAAGAGGTAATTTCGCGTAGTGACTTGTATGCCAGGGGCTCTGCCATCGGTCGAGCGGATCGCGAGCACATCTTCGAGGAGTCCGCCGAGGCCGGATATGGCGATGAATGGGTTGGATGGGACGACACCACACGTTCTGTTAGGGGCACACCCGGGGCCAGGCAGGGTGTAGCAGCGGGCGCAACCAGTAGTGACGATGGAGCACTGGGAACGGCGACAGAGAATGGGCTGGTATGAGGAGGAGGTATAGGTCGTGCCGCATTCGAGCCAGAGGAATGCCCCGCCGAGGTCAAGGGTGAGGGTCTCGGGTTGGAGAGGGGTCTTGAGGTGGAGGGTTATGAGGTATTGGAGGGTGGCTGGGTCTTTCTTGACAGGGACTACCAAAGCTTTGGGCCTGAAGGACTGGGCATGGGATAGAGAGACATAGCAGCAGAGGAAGAAGAAGGCCGAGAGTGAGAGCAAAGCCCTCCTTCCAGTTGACATTGATCAGTTGAGAGAAAGAGAGAGAGATGCCTATTCAGAGGGAGCAAGGAACTTAAGTAGAGATGCACATTGAGAGGGTGCAAGGCACCTTTAAGTGAGTTGCAGGTGGGTAGGTTGAAGCCGTTTGCTTATCATTTACTGCTTACAACGAAGCTGTGTGTTACAAAGGATTTTACGTACGGTCTGGATTAAATTTACAAGATCACCTTTGGTTTGTAATTTTTTAAAAATTTACAATGAGGTCCTTCTTTCACATTCATTTTTAGTACTATCTTTATCTTCGGTTCTTTTTTTTTTTTTTTTCTCTGGGGCAAAGTGGGGAGAGGGCTGAAAGAAGGATACATGTGATCTAACCGGAGTATCTAATAATTTTTTTCTTTCATTTTCAATTCTTTTCTTTTCTTTACAGTTTAGATCACTCACAAGAAATCTTTTTACAATATAACAACTTCAAATGAAATAATACAATAGGATCTCAAAAACTTGAAGCCATTCAAAATCACACTTTTCATTAACAAAGAAGAAACACAACCTGTGCTTAGGAATTAAAGATATAATAAATAAATATGGAAGAAACAAAAGAGAGTTCCGGGGATTATCTCACTGGGCTTAGTACACCCTACATCAAGTCTTCTCCTTCCGATGATATTCGGGATCTTTGATCAGTCTCTTGATTTCTCCTTTTTATGGTAAAACCCAAATAATGCACATGGATCACAATCTAGAACCACCCACCTAAAGCTTTAATGCTTAGGCCTAATTCAAGTCTATTGGCTTGATCCTTATGAGAGATATAAATCATGAAAGGAGGGAGAAAACTATTAGCTAGGGATGATCTTTTTGTTGCTCACAAAATCACATAAAAAAAACCTAGCTTGATTTAGAACTATGAAAGAGATTCAAGTTTAACCCAACTAGCTTGGGCATATGCCCCTTAGGATAGTTTGAAAGAGAGACAAAAGTAAGCTAAGGTGGGGCGTGGCCCCTTCGGTTTCTTAGAGAGAGAAACCTATGTGGAGTGTGCCACATAGAGAGGTTAGAGATAGATTTTATTTTAGAGAGAGAAGAGAGAGTAAGTAAGAGGTATAGAGACAAGGGAGGAGTATGATACCTTTTATAGATTTTTAATGTATTAAGGTTTTTTATAAAACCGTCAGAGCACATCTTGACCGTCGATCTAAAGAGACTTGTAGGATGAGAGATGTGAACCATCCATTCTCTAAATCTACTATCAGATGCTAAGGAAGGTGCTAGAATTTTATCCTCCCATTCCTAAACCTATTCTCATCAAATAAGTTAAATAAAAAAATTAGCTTTTTACTTTTTTTATTAGTAAATATTCGTTCCTAATTTTTCAAATCAAATTTTCTTGATTAATAAGATATTATAAAACTCAATATTATCATTCCTTAATACAAATAGGCTTCTCTTCAAAATAGAAAGCCAACTAGCATGGGATACCTCTCACCATATTTAGCAAGAAACGGCAATCCCCTATGGGTGGGATGCGCCACCCTTTGGTGGCCACTTATGGGCCCCACTCAATTGTCCCATGTAATTTAAAAGGGCCTCCAATAATTACGGAGGGTCCCACATAATTTAAAACAACAAAAAATTATTTTTAGATTTTTTAAACCTCTTAGTTTATTTAAAACTTTAGAAATGAATTTATCTTAATTTATAAATTCAAATGAAAAAATTAAAATATCAGAAGATTCATAAAAATTCAAATAAACATTCTAAAAATCAAATAACATAAAATTAATTAAATTAAATTAAATTAATTTTGATGAGAATCAGATACGAATAGGTCTAGGATTTAATCAACGCAAAGGAGCACTCCACCTTCAACTGTGGACCACTATTCACACTAGGTTTCTCAAACTGATCCAGTAGTTCTCATGACCCACAGTCTACTGCAGGGGCTCATGATTTGACTACCAAAGTTAATCACTGGGCTAGGGGATGTAATTTCAGTCTATGGATTTCAGGTTCTTCCCTAGATACAAACCATGATCCGTCAGACCATGACTCTATGGTGCATAGAGGTAATCTCTCGCACATGTACACGCTTCACCCTTAATGGTGAATTATTATCTCAGTACGACTATCTATGTACATGTTATGTGATGAAATAATGTTGAGGTTTTAATCATGTCTCTATAGACTATTCATCACACACAATGGTCACACAGTCCCTCTCATTCGAGTATACTTCGACCTCATCAAGAGCTAACCCATTAAACCCTCCTAGGTTTTATCTATATGGCCAGGTACCATGGGTTTTCAACTCGACTGGCCTAGTCCGAGTATCGGCAAATTGCATTTGCCGAGTATAGTCCATAAGAGAACCACACTCCCACTAAGTTTATGATTCATTTATTCAAATGTTTATACAATCTCTTTTAAGGCCTTTAAAGGCCACATAAACCCAACAAGGGCCCCTACCCTAATAGGAATTGAGCCTAAGACGTAGCGTTACAATTGTCGAGCTCTAACAAATTAAGCCCAAGCTCTTTTTCTAAGTATTATCTTATGTTCGATGTTTTGAAGGTTTCATATATTAATTTCAAAAGAAAATATTGAACCGTATTTTTATTAATTTTTTATTTTTTTGTGGATTTTGGGGCAGTCCCATGCCTTAGATATCATACTGGCGGTGATTGGCAATTGAAAATATCTACTTATTTTTAATATTTTCTAAATAAAAAAAAAGGGCGATCCAATGTTACTAACATGAAAACCTCAATACCACCCAATTTAAGCAAATAACATGTTAATTTTTCTATAAAATAATTATTAGGATGGCCTAAGAATTTATTTTCATCTCTAATTATAAACTTTGAAACTCGAAAAATACTTCAAATCAAGTAGATCTATAAAAACATGAAAATCTTGAAAATGGACGGTCCATTTAATGTGTTGTAAGATAAATTCTTTTGGGACTTGGAATCCTTTTCCTTTTTCATATTCATAGATCTCAATATTGAGATGATCAATTAGATGTTTTTCCAACATCAAGACAACATTTTTTGATGGATTTTTTATATGCACCTTAATTCTTTACATAATTTTTTTCCGGATGAGGTTTTTATAAGACTTAGACTTTATGAAAACAAAATAAACCCTCTCCTCAAATCCTCATCCAGAAAGCACTTTCAGTAACGGATATCTCCATGATGGTTCTAAAATCAATTTCCAATTTCAACAATGAAATTCAAAATTCAAAAAATGGTACAGATCTTGAGGATCTATGAATACTAAAATTTAAGGTGAATTGGATTATCTAGATAATATGTTACAATATACACTATTTATAAACTTGAAATCCTTTTTTTTTTCACAATCATAATATTCAAGCCAAGACGATTCAAACTCCACAATTTTTTTAAACAACTTTAGAGTAGTTTGATGTTTCATACATCAGACCCTCCAACTGAAACCCACCATGCGAAATAATACAGCAAACTAATGTTTCTAATATTGGACTGCCCCAAAAATGGGCAAAGCCAATGCTTAGGGTATTGCCTCAGTAACAACAACAAAGAAAAATGAAAGAAAAAATATTGAAGTGGGGATAGAATTGAAGAAAACGAAAAAAAGCACACAAAAAAATTTCTCACCATAAAAATTTAAAAATTACATAGTAAAAAATAATTCCATAAATTTAACCTAGTCCATACGGTAACTTCCCCAGATAAGGTCGTATATAAGAAGAAGACTTCCTTAATTGGAATATTGAAGAAGTCAAAGCAAATGAAATTCATATCGTATATGGTATTTCATGCTCATGTGGTATTGAGAGTAAGCATATGGACTTCTATTGCCAGTGTCCAGTTCAACATGTACTGGCATGGTATGATATGGATGATGGAGGACATAAATTAGTCATGACACTTGAAAAAAGTTGGTGGAGTGTGGCTCCAATTATTTCTAGGAAAAGTATACAACAAAATTATTTATCTTTGATAAAAGGTAGTCACAATTAACCATGATGATTGGATATGAATTCAATGGCTGCATTTATTCTATTGATCAAGTTCAAACTTCAACAAAAAATTCTCGAACTTTGTAACATATCTAAGCTGTCAAATTTCACTTCACATAGCTGTAAGTAATTGTGACCTCCTTGTATCATAGATAAATAGTCTCACTGTATATAATTCCTTATTTCTATTATTTGGGATATCTCGTAAGATTTTAAACCTGGGTTTATTAACTTATGCATGATGAAGATTATAATGTTAAAGACAATAATTGAAGGATTAAAATTTATTTGAGGAGTATAAATATTTTGGTAATCTAACTAAGAAAAAATGCAAGATGGCATTAATGAGCCATGTTGGCAAAGAAGTCCGAATTTGAGTAACTCAGTATATATCACGCTTAGAATAAATCAATGTCATTAGGATTGGACCAAAACAAGCTGAGGGGTTTGTTTCGGTCAAAATTGATCTGACTCAATCGAGCCAATGCGACGGCATTTTAAAAGAATATATAATAAATGAATCATACTTACAAAACTCGTAATATATTATAAAAGAATCGCCTATTTTTGCTTGGCTGTTCTAATCGATCAAAACTAGTCATTCAAACAGGTGAAAAGTGGTCAAACAATGAAATTAGGCAATTTTCAACCAAACCCAGTTTTTAATTTTGATCAAACTGGTCAAGTTACCAATTGGTGGTATGACCGTCGGACTGGCTGGTCCTATCAGATCTTGATAACTATGATTTGTTTTGCCATTCTTAATTACTAAATATGCCTTTATTAAAATATAATTACATTTTAAAGTGGGGAAATAAACAGTTATTATTTATTTATCTTGAAGGATAAAAGCTATGATGAACACTAATAAAAAAACCTTTATGTATACATAAGTTTTAATAAAAATATTTAAAAAATTATAGAGAAAATAAGTCATATACAATGGAAATAGACATTAATAGAGGAAATATAATACATTACATGCTCGTGGTACTCCACTAGACTCAGCCCTCACACATCACTCTAGATGACTCCAGTTTTGTAGTCTCTGGTTGGGTGCATGAATGC